CAGTAAGAAACCACTAAAGAAAGGAGATGAATGAGAATAATTAGTTCCATATAACAGGATAGATGCTATTTAAATACCAGAGTGCACATATAGCCAAAAAAATATGATGCATCAATTCATGATCAGTCATTTTATACTGAATGCAAAGTTCAATAATGAAAAATGAAATAAAATCTAGCAGGCTCAGCTAGAAACCATGTATCTTTCATCTTAAAACCAACTTTTCCCCTTACGCTGACAAGTGACAGACATGTTCATCAAAAGCTACAACCATGCAACACTAAATTCAAAAGAATGAAATTTTAACAGAATCCAAACAAAGAACTCCATAAACTATAATGTATCCACTCTTAAGACTTAAGAACGAGTCAATAAGAACCCAAAAATGAAACCATCGACGATGAACAAAAAATACATGGCTAAAAGAGAAACAACATAAAGAAAGAGAGAGATGAGGAATTACACGCTCTACCCACTGTCGGGAATCATCGGTAAATTAAAAACAAGTTTCATTAAGAAGCTCTGATTTTAGTACGGAATAGACCTGCATAAACTTGGATTTTAACTCACTCATGTCTTGGCTTTCCACTCTATTCCTTCTTTCCGATGGTGGAGCTAGAAGAAAGAAAGAAAAAAATGATAGTAGAACTGAACTGAGGTTCTCATAGATATTGTCATTGTTATTACAAAGAGAAATAAGTACTCAAGCGACTTAGATACATGCATTTCATGCAAGCATCAATATATATTGAGATAATATGATTAAAAACACTAATTTCTTAGTTATTTTAATTTGGTTTGTTTAATTAACAAGATTAGTTAAAACATTTTCACTCATTTAGTACAACTTTTGACCTTAAAAGTTAATCCAACAGCAATGCGGAGCACAGTTTAAGCTGCTCTGTAGTAATCTAAATTATCATGCATGAAAAGATTCTACATTTGTTTGCAATTAAATAAGTAATCTTTGATTATATGCAAGTTCAATAAAAAGGTTTTTGCTTATCAGTTATTGAGTAGGATCGGATAGAGTTCGGATCGAATCCATACCAAGTATTTTACAGGTTCGTTTCAACTCAAAATGTGAATTGAGTTTCCTGTCAAAGCCCGGCCGCAATAGAGAGATGAGAACCCGTGCCCGACTTTTTACGCTCATATTTATCTTACACTAAACTGAGTTTCCTGTAAAAGCAGCTAATGCAAGGATTAAAGCCTTCAAAATGAAGCTGCAAAAGCAATTAAAATTGATTGAACCAGTAACCCACGAAGCAAAAATCAAATGCTAAAGCGAAAATAGAGCATACCAGTAAGTGATTTACTCCAAGGCAATGCTCCAACACAATGATGCAAGATAGTTCGGAACAAAAGCACTGATATTAGAATATGGATATTGCAGGTGAATATAGTTTCAGACTTCTAGGTTTTGTTTCTTCACGTTAAAATTAGGTTCCGGGTTGGGTTTGGGGCATTTGGACCTTTGAGGTCAAGGGTAGAAATGGGTTTAAATGTCTGTTTTTTTAATTTGTTTGTTATAATTATACAGTAGTATTTATTCGAATAATTCTGAATTATTTTATAATAAATACTTAAATATTTTTACAAATGTCGTATTTAAATTTATGACAATTCATTTAATTAACGAGGTTATTTAATTCGTGTAATTGACAAAACATATTATCTGCTAAATTCCGTTTAAATACGTTTAAAAAAGATTAAAAGACAAAGCATAGACGACTGTCTTTAAATTTTAAATACCGTTTAATTGTTTAGGTTTCAAAGGGTTCGGCTAAAAAATTCACAAACTAATCATATGAATCAACCATATCTTAAAAGATCTAATTATATATTGACAAAACACTCTATAACTTTATATGTAATCTTATAAAATAATGTTTCAAAAATAATAATCTTGTAAAATAAAGAACAACCACTCAATTAATCTCACGAACTGTTTATTATTTAGGGTAAAGTATATAGATAGTCCCCCGAATTTTTTGGGTGCTTGCATTTTGGTAACCCAACTTTTGAAACTTGCAATACACTCATCGAATTTTTAGTTCGTTTTTATTTTGGTCCCTGTCGTTACCTCCCGTTAATTTTTACTGACATGACACTTAACCCCGTTGACTTTTCTAACTTAGATTTTTCTTCTTCCTCCTCCTCTCCTGCTTTTTCTTCTTCTTCTTCAAAGCAACCATCTTCAGCTTCAAAACTCGATTCCAAAACCGACCCAACATGCAGGATGGATGGGAGATAGCAATTGCCAAGCTGCAAAGTCGTCGAGATTGGGTTTGAAGCACGGCAGGGGCGAGATCGTTGAAGGAGGTTGAAGGTGGTACTGATAGTGGCAACGTAAGGTTGAATCCACCATGGCAGGTAGGAAGGGTGGTAGCATTGGTGGAGAAACAGGACACGTACTTGGATTGGTTATGGCTATCGTAAGAGCAGTTGTCACGGTCAGTGAGAGAACGCAGCAGCTTGCAGGCTTGCAGCTCTTTTCGTTAGATTTTGATTTAACAAAAGAGTGAAATTGTTAAACCTCATAGTGGTGATCAGATCTTGCATGTAAAATAGTAATCTTTAACAAGTGTACATACATGAATGGAAAGATAACATTTGCTTTTAACGTACAGATTTAGAGAAATACAGTTCATTGGCCAAAAGTCCAAATGCAAAAAGCTATTTCTAAAGAGATCATATTACTGTCAGATCACAGTGTTAATCTGAAAAGTACATGTAAAAACCCACAGTAACAAGAGTTATAACACGGATTAATGACTTTCAATTCATTGTCCAAAGGAACAACCAATTGCTTTTAAAATGCAATGTTACTGTGTAAAATTAAAGGTTTTCCCCTTGGAATAAGTGCAAAAAGACATGAAGTTTACGATCAAAGATAAGGATATAGGCCTTGGAGCTTGTACAGAGATAATGGTAAGCGAATTTGCCTTCCAGGCGATATTCATGCATGACCCATTTGATTTTCCCTCCTTTAGGAGCTCTTCCCCTATAAAATACCAGTGACTTCTTTATCCCAACGAATGCACAAGTCTTTGAGCTATAAATCTCCCGATCTTTCCCGGTAGCTTTGCAGTATCCAGCTTCAGTAACAAGACCTCAACAATCTCTCCCCCGCCATGCTTCAAACCCAACTTCGACGTCTTTGTAGCTTGGTAATTGCTATCTCCCATCACTCCTACATGTTGGGTCGGTTTTAGAATTGGGTTTTGAAGCTAAAGATGACTCCTTTGAAGAAGAAGAAAGAAAGAAAAAGAAGAAAAAGTAGAAGAGGAGGAGGAAGAAGAAGCTGCCAAGTCAGAAAAGTTAAGTGCCACATCAACAAAAATTAATATGAGGTAACGGTAGGGATCAAAATAAAAATTAATTAAAATTTTGATGACTGTATTCCAAGTTTCAAAAGTTGGGTGACCAAAATACAAGTATCCTAAAAATTTGGGGATTATTTATATACTTTACTCTATTATTTATATAAAATGCGAATTTTTTGTATTTTTGATTTATTCAAAATGGTCGAAGAACACAATGTCTAAAAATCTGTGAAGTTTAAACATCTTCCATTTACATTATTATAAGCAAATAGAGGGATCAAAATAGTGGTCCTTTTGATTAAAACAAATATTTGGATCACCAAAAGTATAATATTAAATATGATTTAAAAAATAATTAGGATGCCAAAATAGAAACGTAAGAATAGATAGAGTACCAGATAAATAATCTACCATGAAGTTAATGGACAAAAATATTTGAGCTAAAATATATGTCGAAGGCCCAAACAAGGCAAAGTCCAATATTAAAGTAAAAAATTCAATTGGGCTGGTCTTCGAATTTTAGACCCGAGTCAAACCGACAATAACTTGTTCCGATTCGAAAACCTAATATTATTATTTAGGCAAAAATGAATTAGAAGTCCCTTTACTTTTAAAAAAACTAGTATGGCTCTCATATTAGTTTTTCTCTCAATGTGGCCTTCCAATTCATAAAACAAACCCAATGTGACCCTTTGACTAACGTCTTTCGTCATTGATTGTTACAGTATTGGCGTGCCAGTCCACAGTGCTAATGTAGCAGTTCACGATACTGACGTAGCAGTCCGTCTGTCATGTTTGAGTTATCAACTTAGTTAATCTGTCATGTCATCCATCACATTAATTTGTCATATTAGACTATCATATCAGCACCGTGGACAACCATTTTAGCACTGTGAGTTTCCATATCAGTATCGTATGGTCAACAATGAAAAAAATTGGTCAAAGGGTCACATTGAATTTATTTTATGAGATGGAGGGTCACATTGAATTAAAAAATAATATGAGGGTCACATTAATTTTTATTCAAAAGTACAGGGAACTCTGATGAAGTTTTGCCTATTATATATTTGTTTGGCTTACTTTTGGGGAAAAGAAATCCTTTTTCTCTTCCTCCCTAGAATTTTCTTCGTCCAGTCGAATCTATTGGTGGTTCAGATAAAGGTAAGACTCTAATTTTCATTTGTTTTAATTTACTGTCTGATTTAGGGTTTAATCTGATAGGTAGAACTGATTTTCCTTTACTTTCTATTTGTTTGCGAAGGAAAATAGAATTGAAAAGAGTTAGCGTTTCTGCGTTTTTCGTATATGATCAAATTTGTGTTTTAAGTTGAATCAGTAATTCAAGTTATTTGGCTCTTTATTCTTTGTTAGAGTTGATAATTTTGAGCATTTTAGACTTTATATGCCCAGCGTTTTTTCCCGATTATTTTGCATTGATTGTTATAGGAATATGTTGAGTTATGCGGATTATGGTTCTTTTCTATGCATCGTTTCATCCGATGAATATTTGGGTTTCTGCACTTGTTCTGATTCCATAAAGTTTGTTTATAAATGGAACCAATTGTTCAAGTTGTTTAGCTCTTTCTTATTATTCCTAATTTTTAATTTTGAAAATTTTACCTCTTTCTTAGATACCCAGAAGTTATTTCTTTTCCCCATTATTTTGCATTGATCCTTATAAGAATATACGTTCAATCAGGCAGGTTCAGTTTATTTGTTGATAATATTTTAAAGAAAACATGACAACTGCTGCTAGACCAACATGGCAACCTGCCAAAGGTGGGAATGAACAAGGTGGTACTCGTATTTTTGGCCCCTCTCAGAAGTATTCGTCGCGGGACCTTGCAGCTCATACTACTCTAAAGCCTAGGTGATTCTTTTGTAACTTCTCTAGAGTGTATATGTTTGTTTTCGTATGCATTAGGGTGTCAATGGCCCAAGAATAAAATTTAGGGTATTAAAACATGTTTTCATTATGTTGTTAATTTTTCTTTTGTTCTTAGTTCAATGTGTGATGTACATAGATAGAAGGTAATAATCCTGGCTGAAACTAACTCTTGTTTGTTCATCAAATATTTACTTTTACGCTGCTCGTGTTGTCATTTCACCTGCATGGTGTTGTCATAATGTGGTTTTAAGGGTTGATTTTGGAGATTTTCCGTATCCGAAACCTATGTTACTCAAACTTTGTTGTGAGATGTCAAATATGAGTATGTCTCTCATGGGTATAATCAAAATTTTCTAAGTTTCATGTATTTGGAGGATTTTTAGGGGTAGTATCCTCACACTTGTGTGTTAGGCACAAGTGTTAGATGCAGGTATTTCACGAAAAATGGAGAGTTGGATCAGCATAATTCAAAATCCTACTTCTAGACATTAACAAGATGTATTGTAGCTCTAGTTGTATCGTGAATGAGATTATTTATCGGTTTCTTTTGCTTGTGTGAGAATTCAGAAAGGATGGACAGGACACCCAGGATGAGTTGATGAAGAGAAGCCTCCGTGATGAGCTTGAAGAGCGTGAACGGAGGCATTTCTCATCAAAGGACAAGTCCTATTATGGTAAGGAGGAGAACATTTTCGCGACCGTTCTTTGTATATTTGCATGAATTCTCTTCTATATATATATATGGTTGTCATAAATTTCCTATAATTTTGATTCTTAATATGTGAGTATATTTTTGTAGATGATAGAGATCATAGGAAGGGGAACCATCTTCTTTTGGAAGGTAAATTGCCAACTGGCCTATTTTTATTGAATTAATGAGCTGTCAAAGCACTTCACTAACTGTGAATGTCACTTGTAGGGGGAAAAGGGGGATTGAAGACCGAATTGTTCCACGCAGTGTTGACGCTGATGATTCTGATGTGGAAGTCAACAATGACGATGAAAGGTTCTATTCGTTGCCTCTATCTCTGTTTTTTATGCTAGGACAATTAGTCTTTCTGATGGTTGAATTCTTTAAGTTTTTTGAATGGTTTAGAATGCCCGCCGTAACATACTGCATATAGTTTCATGATTTCTGTCTTTCTGAAGTCAATAAAAAACTAAAATGCAAAAACTTGTAGTTTCATTGTGTGTTTGATCTATAGAAGAATTTTCCCTCTTGTTGGTAACTTCTGGATATTGCTCTTTTTCTACACTCTTTTTAAAGATCTAATTTTTTGTGTAAGTGATGATGACGATGAGGATGATGAGGACGACGGAGAAGCTCTTATGGCTGAGCTTGAACGAATAAGGAAAGAGAAGGCCGAGGAGAAACTCCGCCAGGTAAACTCTATGCCATAGTTTCTTTGCTAATTACTCTGGGGCTTCAATGCTGTTAGATTTCCTCTTGATTTTACAGCTATAGAGTGTATCATTTAATATATTTCATCAATACCAAAAAAAATGCCTTATGCATGTGCAGGAAAAACTAGAGCAAGAAGAACAGCTAAAAGCCAAAGAGGCTGAGCTTCTTCGGGGAAATCCACTACTCAATAACCCGACATCTTTCGGTGTAAAAAGAAGGTACCTTGCATGAGATATCAGAACTTCCCCCTTGGTTATTTAAGTAAAGCCTGAGATTGCATATGGGTCAAGTTCTTTTATGATCTTTGTTTATGTGATTTAGGTGGGACGATGATGTGGTCTTCAAGAATCAGGCCCGAGGTGAAAACAAGCCTCAAAAGCGCTTCATTAATGATACCATAAGGAATGACTTCCACAGGAAATTCCTGCTGAAATACATGAAGTAATTCACGTGAACATTTAAAGTAATTAATGAAGCAAGTAATACTTACTGCTTTAAGTAGTGTGCATTTCTAGCGAATTTGATAATGGTTTTCCTTTACTAGAATATGCGGTGTTGTGTGTTAAACCTATATCTCCTAATGCATATGGAAATGATGTATGTTTTCTTGAACTAGTTGAGACATGCTGAAAGATATATCGACTTATTATGTCGCTTTAATTTGCTAACTTTAATTCGGTCTGTTAGCATTTCCTGGTTCTAGTAAATACGGGAAGTGGTTAATGGTTACTGGAATCGATATAAAGAATGGTGACTGAATTTTTGGTTTCATGAGAAGGATGAGTAAGGTTTTTGAATTGAAAGGTGAGGTTTATACTAACAGTTTGTTGAACTGATTATTAGCCAACAGCTTCGAGTGTTGTACTGATTATTAGCCAACAGCTTCGAGTGTTGTACTGATTATTAGCCAACGGTTTCAAGTGTTGAGCTATTGTGCAGCCTAATTTAAGCCTGAAAAAAGGCATTACCGAAAATGTTATAAAAACATTTTAGGTTAGGCGTAACTTAAACTGTTAACTTTTTCTTAACATTTTTCGATTGAAAATCTTCTTTATAACATTTTTGGTCTTGTCTATTTCTTGTCATTCCTTAACCTTAAAGTAAGATGACGTAGGGTAGAAATACCCATATTTTCCATAATATATATATTTCGAGAGTTAGGATTTTGTTTTAATATGCATGTTAGAAAATATAGTGTTCAACCGAATTGGAGACTTTAATATTCGTGTTTTATTATTTATGAATAGGGGTTTAAATGAACAGAGAAGTCGGTGAATTGTTTGCATAACGTTCGTGTATGTTCGTTTGTTAAATTAAATAAATGAATATGAATAAAAATTTTATGTTCATTTAATAAACGAACGAACACGAATAGAGTTGTGTTCGGTTTGTTTATGTTCATGAACAAACTCGTTTATAAGTCCGTTTATGAGTTCATTTATTGACTCTTTCATTTAGGAACAAGCTTGCTTAATGACTTTTTTAGAAGTTCATTTATTTGATTCTCCTTTTTTATTTTAAAAATTGGTGGAGGTAAGGATTAAATTGTATACATGATGAAATTTGAAGTTTAAATTATAAATCTTAAGAAGTTTAAGCACTAGTGATATAATTTTACCATTTCTCTTTGGGAAAAGTAAAAATTGAAAAATGAACGTACAAACAAATGCTAAACAAACATTAAAGGAATATGCTCAAACATTAAACAGATGTTTTTGCAAATAATAAATATTCAAACACTAACATGTTTAAAAATAAATAAAAAAACGAATCAAACATAAATACTTCTAAAAATAAATAAACGAACAAAAACATAGTGGTTTCATTTACACCCCTGGCTATGAACGTCAAAATTGGAGGACAATAAATTTTGAAAAAGGAGCAAGTGGTTATTCTAAAACACCAGTGGGGAAGACATAAAGGGTTTTGCTATCCGAAGCAGTAGCACCAATGAAAGCATCAGTAACAAGTCCGACACCGAATCCTGGGGTCAGAACGATATTGTCTGACATTCAAGTGAGGGAGATGGTCATCCCATGAACCAAAAGGTTCACATCGTTATTCTTGGTGTGACAGCCATTGTTGATGATGAGCACCTAATAACTGTGCAGACAGTCCAACTCAATCTCTGGTCTCATGGAGGCCACTGCTAAGCCAAACATGGTGAAACTGGCTGGTGAAGAGCAGATGAAGACTCAACCAATTGACAATAAACACTTATATCTCTGTCGATGCTTAAACTTAAAACCTCTAAAAAGATTAACAAATTCCTTAACCACTAAGGACGTTTGATTCCACCGAGGTATAGTATCATGTAAAATGTGGCGCTGAATTTTAATGGAAATATTTCGGATTTGTAGCGATGATTTCTTATTGGCAATGGTAGATTTTGCTGCATGTTGGTTTTATTGCTGAATTGATTAGGGAAGCCGATCCTTTCCCTGGAAAAATCTTATCGAAGGAAAATTAGAAACAGATGAATCTGAATACTGGCTTAATGCGGAGTTGTAGCTTTTATTTCATGCACTATAAATTAAATAAAATTTTTGAGAAGTAGCCATGGACTTTCCTTTGATTTTGTTTTTTTTAGTTATTATTTTTCTGAAATTATGCTTAGAACAGATTATATGCATTGCTTACGGCAGTTCTTGCATCCATCAGAAGATTACTTATATAAGTTGGTAAGGTTTTTGGTGGAGAAGCTGTAAAAATTTCTGTGGAAAGAAAGATTCTAGGCAGATATTCAAGGAAGATAAATTGGAGAGAGTTTCTGTCAGAATCTAGACAAGGAAGAGGCCAATCAACATCTTCAAAAGGTTGAAGCTATCTTGCAAGATCTTAGAGTAGATGAATTCTCAGAATCAAGAAGAGTAAATATCTGTAGAGGTTGAGCTGAGCTTCGAGCTGGGGTTTCTTAACAGGATTCAGAACAACAAACTGTTCATTCTTCTGTGTCAGATCTCCATTCTTTAACCAAATACAGTATAAAGCAGGAAACTTGCTTTCTCAAGAAAAAGAGATAAGAGGAGGAACTAGAATCAAACACTTTTCAAATGCACATCTTGAGGAAGGCGGAAGCAGATATGGCATTCGATGAAAGTCATCATATGGTTTTTTTCTTGGAGAAACTTAACATGCAGATTGATGGAAAGTCACAGTCACACATTGTTCATAAGAGTCTTTTCATTCTTCTCACAGCCACGATTTAGATCGTGCATGGAAACTTGCACAAGTTATTACTAAGTAAGATTGTCTATATGCAATCAAAAGACTCTTTTGGGAGCATACTATCTTTATGTGTACTTTGTACATTCCCTAAATTACTCTGCCTTGATGCATACTTTCTATCTTGGTAATTTTGTAGGGTGGAGGAACACTTGAAACTTGCTGCAGATCTCAAGAAGCACCCCGAGGGTGCAATCTCGAAGGTCCTATATCAAGCGAATAAAGGAGATCACAAAAATAGTGGCAAACTCGACTCCGACATAGAGCGCCCCTGAGAGAAACTAGGGTGCTCCAGTTAGAAAGCAATCCCATTCAGGAGAGCCTTCTTCGCACCTGGATGAATTTGTCTTCCAGTATGGACTGACTGCTACTTCAGCCCTCACGGAGGCTTTGCATCCTTACTATAGGCGATATATTAAACGAAATCCGATTTTTCATTTTCCTTGGAAAGACGTAGACCGGCAACAGGTTTACAGACTGCCCACCAGCATCCATGACAGCTTGGAGCAAATCTGAGAGAAAATGCTTGCAACCGATAGAATCAGAAGAGAAACAGCTGATCTCGAAAAGATATTTGCAGCCGTCTTCTCCAAAAGCTTAAATGCACACAAAATACAAGCCGAAGGAAAATGGGTGCCTGGAGCAACAACTTTGACACAATTGAACCAATAGTACATCACTGGAATCCATTTTTTCCATTGAAACTGCTTAGTTGTAATAATATTTGAGTTGGGAACTTTAAATTTAGCCACATGTTTGTGTTCATCGTAATGTTTGGAGAACAATAATTACGAATGTGACCTCTGATATGATGCAAGAACAAAATTACATGAAGTGGCATAAAACAACCAAGTTAAGGAAGAAACTGAAAAATGAAAACTAGGTAGCTTTTGATTTCAACTAAACATATAGAATCTTCTCATATACCAATTACAGCTTTATATTATCGTTTCCTCACTATTTAATTCAAAATTTAATATACAGGTGAGACAATATCAAAGAGAGAAGGAAAATTGGCAAAATCCCACCTAATTCAAAAATCTATTTGACCTCTTCAATTCCTAGAGTTCTCTTACGACAATAATAAGAGTCCCAATTGAACAACGAACAGAGTTTTCTGCCCAGAACAAACACAAATGGCGGGGACGAAAAGCCAACACAAAGTCAGCAACAAATATATTTTCCCCACCACACATCAACTCTAATGTCTGAGATGCCTTTCACATATACATTCCAAGAGTAGGCCAGAGTTTCAGTTTTTTACCTTCTGAAGAGTTCCTCAATGGTTTTCTTCTAGATTGCATCATCGTAATACTTTTAATGGTTCAGTAATTAGTTTTCCAGTTTACCTGTGCAAGTTGAGGCTGCTGATAAGTGCCCGTTGGGGACCTACAGTTCTGACAGCAGCAGCCATGGATTGAGACTGTTGTAGTAGGGTGTTAACGTTGGAAGGAGCTGCCATCGTTTGTGGAGGCGGCAGATAAAGCCCAGCAAAAGCACCATGACCAGCTTGTGCAGGAGAGTAAGGAAGCTGTTGGCCATGAAGGGAAAGGTTGAATAAAGAATTAACCGGCAAGTTGGATAGATCTTGCCCTGGTGCAGGCATCCAGAGAGCTGAACCTTCATTCTGACCCACAAAAAAGTCTTCAAATTAACTTGCTAATAAAAGTACAGTGAAGATATATCAATATACTATATGCATAGCAGCATACAGCAGCATATGCATACAAGATAAAAGAAAAACCCAATACTACAATGCATATAATCCATCATGGTAAAACAGATAGAGAAAGTATAAAAGGAAAAGGACAGCAAAACCAACCAGCGGTCCAGTTGTGCATATGTGATTTTCCTTCAACTGCAATGCTGCAATATCGTCCTTGCTGCTAGAGCTTGCAGAAGTCACTGATGGAACACGTAAATTGAAACCAATAGGTGGGGAAGTCAATGGAACATAGCAGATGGAATTGTGAGGTGAGCTGGATTTCCTGCATGAGTTCCAGGCTTGAACTGTGGTAGAGGGAATTTAACCTCAGGTGGAGTTGCTCCAGGAGGCATGTATACATTGCCAGTTGAAGGTTGCTGAGGAAGCCCAGTGGGGCTTAGAAACTGATGCATTGGATGCATATAAAAGGGTGAAAGATAGTGGGGATAAGGGAAGTAATTAGGTAGAAATGGCTGTCGGAAAAGATGAACTGCCTGTGGGGCTGCAGCAACAGAACTCTGTATAGGTGGAGTTGAACTGCCAGATGGAGCTGGTGAACCACCCTACAAATTTGACAACACAGGTGTAAGAAGCATGTAATTATCATATAGCGCAAAGCACAGACTACCATTTTATCTTTGAGTTTGTAGGAGCATAAGATAGCTGATCACTTTTCTCATCATATGCCACACTACTCAAGAACCATGAACTATAAAAATAAAGTAGAAACTGAAGCAAATACAAAAAGTACATATGCCACGTATTAATCAACTTTTTTTAACTATAGCCAATGAAGGGATGAAGGGAGTACTATAAACAATTAAGTCGAATGTGCATAAGAGTGTTACAAATAAGTAGTAAGTGCTTACAACAAGGTTTGTCAGACGAGAAACATCATGGTTCCTTGCATCAGGTCCATCAAACTGTGCATGGTGGGCTGCCGATGCTGGCATGAAACTTAGCCCATAGCTTGGAACATTTGGAATGACACTCTGATTACTCTCTGGGTGCAGATGCATTTCTTGATTGGACTGATCAACTTTCAAGTCAGCATCAGATGATACATTGCAATCTGATTCGGGCACTTTCTCAAACTCAGGAGGAGCTTCTTGTTGATCAGTGTTGTCCCCTTCCACAGCTGGTAATATACCATGGCTGCCAGAGAAATTATAATCACCCAATAAGATTTAAAGATTAAGGAACAAAATAGATAACTCAGAATACTGTTCAAAATAGAAAATCAGGTGCATTTTAAACTACATATGTTATCCAAACATGATTTTCCTTGGTAATCCAACAGAGGATTGAACAGAACTATGTTCTTCTTGACTTCGAACAGTTGAAGGACAAAACATCAGGTAGCCATTACCAATCGCTCCCTGGCTTATGTAATCACTTCAATTCATTAAAGAATTAGAACTGCTGAATTGGTTTCTTTCCGGGGCCTAACAGGCATCAAACAAGTGTAGACACAATCTAGGTTGGTTTCTTTCCTTAGCTAATGGGCTTGGCCTCTGGCTGGTTTTTTACTCATAGTAATTTAGAAATTGGAAAACTTCAATTAGGAGGGATTTTTCCATCTAAGGCCTTACAAAAGAGTATGCACCTGATCAAGTGTGACGTGCCTGAAATAACCTATGGTGTTTTCACTGTCTGGCATTAAGACGCAGCAACCAGCTGCACACCTTAATAACACTGCCCCGAAAAGATATAAATTAAGTCAACTAAACCACTGGTGTACCGGCAAATGACCTAGGTTGCTTAAGTCCTTGTTGACATCAAGTCATGGGTTCCAACATTGGACAATCACTCACCCTACCCCTGATCCAAAAAATTGTGTATACATATAAATTAAAATAAATGAAGAAGCTAACATCCACCAACCTAGAAGCAGGCTCTCCAGCAGCACCGTCAACACCCTGAGAAGTTTCAACAGGCCTTGCAGAATTAATCTCTAAATTAGAGACATTAGTGGGTTTTGATACATGTCCAAAACTAGCATCAAAGCTTCCAAAAGTTAAGCCATTCTTCAATGCTTCAGAAACTTGGAAGTGGGTTGGAAAAGTAACATGTTGACCATTGCAGACATTTGAATCAGCGGGAAATTGAAAACTGGCTTTACCAGCGATGGTTGTAACCTCAGATGCGACGACTGTTTCAAAACAAGACAAAAGACAAATAAAAAAAGAGCACCAAAGCACAACAAGACAACATTTATGTCAATATCTAAGCAAGGGATGCTTCAAAAGCAGGGAGAGCAACAAAACAATAAATGAATAAATTAGCAACATTAACCATAAGAACTTTATTTCTATTTGTTAAAAGGAAAGAAAAACTAATTACAAGAATAGCAGTTTAAAGAACAACAGGTGCAAAACTTAGAGACCAGTAGCAATACAAGGAAAATTGCAAAGTGTCGCACAGACTTCTCAAATGTGTTCTTCATGGAAGGGAAACAGAAGCCTCCCATGGAAGAACTTCTAAAAAAGGCAATATTGTACATTGAAAGGAGATAAACAGGAAAGACCAAAAAAACTAAACAAAGACCACATGAACTACTATAGACTACTATATTTTATGGTGTCATGGAACGAGGTAATACCTTGCTCTACAGGCTTGGGTTGCTTAAACTGTTCAGAATCATTTGATTTTCTGGTTTCCTCCTTTCCTTGCATTGAGATTGGAACCTCAGACACCATCTTCTCAGTATTAGATACATCATTACCACAGGAAACAAGTTTGCTTCCTTGAATATGGTTTAATTCAGTAGCTTCCTGTTGGTTTCCAACTTCATGGTTTACGGTACTCACAGCACAAGCATGCTGCGAGACGGTTGATGCCAACCCAGGATCTGAAGCAGATAAATTGTCAACAGAGAGAATTGGCGAAGTTCTAGAAGTCGATAAGGCATTCAAATTTGATGCAGACTTCTCTTGACTTTTAATCACAGAGCAAAAGGACTGAGAAGGAATGGGTGCAGGAGGTTCTCTGACAACTGTTTGCTCTGAAATATTTGATGTCTTGTTTAGATGTAAGCCACCTTTACTTTCACTAATTATACTGCCAACGGATAATTGGGGTCCATGTCCATGACTGGAGTTCCCATTTGGTAAACTAGTAGTACCATTGAGTATGGCAGTTGATGTTCTGTGAAAGGAGAAAGATTCTATATAAGTTATAGAAGTATTCCTCAGAATTAACAAATTAACAAGGGCATAAAAGTCATGATAAGATACAAAAAACTTTTATTATGAATATTTACTTTTTCATGTAAGGTGGTGTGTTATTTTTCACTTTCTGAGATACTTGGGAAGGCATAGAACCTCTATCTGTGGAACGATTAACCCCATACCCTCTCTTAGCAAATGAATTTCTTCCACCTCCAATAACTTAAGAGAACAAAGCTTGTCACGTTAGCAACTTACAAATAAACAAATATGTTAAATTCATAAATTGATATAAATAGAGGAGGTAAAAGGAACTAATACCTTTACTAGGTGATGAATAATAGTTCCCTCGACTGCCCTGTCCCCTTCGTTCTTGTGTACCAGCTGCCTGCATGAAGAAGAATTCAGTTATAATTCACAATTTACCAAGCTAACTACGGCAAAATTCAACCCAAAAAAACATGAAGGAAAGAAGACTTGCCTCCTTTTTCTTGTCACGCTTTCTTTTCACATCATGAAATGTATCTGCAAACCGAACAATGGGACAGTCATACTTTCAAAAAGTAAACAGTAAGATACAATAAGCAGAGACAAAAGTATGCACTAAATGAGATAAGAATATCCAAAAATGATAAGAAAAAGACTAGAGAAAAGATGATCACAGCATCTCAAATTCAGAAGGCCTACCATTGATAGAACCAATAAGAAATTTAGAATAAGATTATCAAATTATTATGATGGTGGGATAATAATAAAAAAGCTATTAAAACCTAAAAAGTTTAAATGAAGAGGCAGGCTGCTATAGCTGATAAATCAAAACAAAAGGAACAGGTTATGAAAAGGATTGAATTTCCCAGCAAACAAAGAGCATCCATAATCAAACAAACATACGTAACAAACCATTTTCCATTAATAAGAAACAAAAACTAGCCGAAACCAGCCTTCTCCATTGTTCAAACTTCAAACACAAAACACGAAATCAACAACTCAAACAATGCATTCATTTTTCCATTAGCCAAAACATATGAGAGCGTGAAAACACCGCCTCTCAATAATCCCAACTTTCTAACGCTTTTCAACGCAAGAATACGCACATAAAAGAAAACAGATCATTAACCCATCAAACACATGGAAACAGAGAAACCCTAAAAGGACATCGAAAGCACCAAAATAACAGATAAATAAGTCCAAAAACAAGCATTTAAATCTTTATTCGTTTTACCCATATAAAGAAGCTTTTGGGCAGTTTCATTGGGATCCATAAAGCACTCTTTGAGAATTGAATAGATTTCTTCATCGCCGTGTTGTTTCCCTGTGATCTCCCTTATGCTTTGGATCGTTTTCTTTGCATTATCGGGGATCGAAACTCTTGACCCTTCAGATACACCACCGCATCCGCCGCCACCATTGCTGCTCATGGTAGTAAAGAAATAAAAGGGGAAAGAGAAGAAGAAAGGGAAGGAAGAAGCAAATAAACAATGAGAGGATTGAATGTCTAGCGCTATTACATTTACATTGATAGTTATATTTATCCGATAAAACATTTATATCAATATTTATATTCATAATAACTAGGGCATTTACACGGAAGGGAAATATGAAATAATTAGTTTACATATTGTAGTATGTACGAATAAGTCATAATTAAAAATATTGTTTGATATATAATTTAAAAATTATTAAAATAATTATATTATTAAAATAATTTTTTAAAAATTATTGCACTCAAACTGACCAACCCCTCTCTTTATTACTAGTTTTCACATGAAAAAAAATGGTTGTCCCTTTTTTCATATATATGGGATAAGGGGAGGTAAGATAGTAGGTTACCCCCAACATCAGGTTGAGAGCAGCTTCCGTAAGAGACTTTCGAATTATGAAATGCCCTTCGTGGGACTCGATCCCACGACCTCAAGTTAAAAACCTTGTGCTCTACCAACTGAACTGGATGATCATAATTTACTTAGAGAAGCAACCACGGTTGCTCATAACGTAGCACACGTGGCATTCGATTGTGTTTGTGTATTTGGTTTATTTGATGATCATAACATAGCCATGTGTTAATGACTTATAATTAGTTTACCCCTTACAAAATTATATTTTAATTCAAGATTGGTAATTTAGACAAAAGCATGTAAATTCGATACCTTAAACGATCGAGCCGACAAGACAATGATTGCTTACGTGGCAGGCGGATAAGTCGGTCGGTTAGGGTATATTAGTCCATTGAATTTTGTTCGATGGCAAAATAGTCATTCAGAAAAAGAACCGGCTTTATTTATTCTTCTTCACGTTCTCTTGTCAAATAGAAACCCTAATCCCTTTCGTTTTGCCCTCGATATTTATTGATTTTATTTTATCGAGCAATAAACAGAGCGAATTAACTCCATGGGTTCGAAATCCAAGAACGATAACCCCCTCAGTGGAGATGGAGCTAGCCCCGGGTTAGTATTATTCTTTTCCTCTCTCTATTCAATTGAATTTATCCTGTTTGGATCCCTAGATAAAATGGATAGAAATTCTTTATGTCTTGTTTAATTCGTGCGTTTTTTAGCTATTCAACTTGTCTGGAAAATTTCTTCAAGTTTAATTTTGTTTCTTAATGCAGGAAGATCTTTATCGGCGGATTGGCCAAAGATACTACTTTTCGTGAGCCTTTAAATTTAGTATTGCTTTTATTATTTTGTTCTCGGATTATATTTTCATTGAATTAAAGGGGAAAAATAAAAATTTTAGCTAGCAACGAATTAGAAAAAGCACTAAATTGGATTTAATTTTGTTGATAATTAGATTTTATTTGATATTAATTTAAGGATGAAGTTATTTAGTTGCTGATTTGAGGTTTTATTTCTAATGGATATTCAGCTCAATTTAATAAGCACTTCGGAAAGTATGGGGAGATAATCGATTCTGTAATTATGAAAGACCGATACACAGGCCAGCCTCGAGGTTTCGGATTTATTACATATGCTGATCCATCTGTTGTGGACAAGGTCATTGAGGAAGACCATATCATCAACGGAAAACAGGTAAATTATATCTTTATGTTACCAAAGATGAGGTTAAGATAGATTCAATATTTCATTATCTGGATAATGAAAGTTTTGGTCAATGTAACTACAATTACTTATATATGTATATATATTTATATTAGTAATTATTATTTAAACAAATTAAGGATGATGCTCATAAAATCAACTTTATAAGCAGGTTGAGATAAAGAGGACAATTCCTAAAGGTTCTAGTCATTCAAAGGATTTTAAGACAAAAAAGATATTTGTTGGTGGTATACCATCCTCAACCACAGAAGGTATGAGACTAGGAGTGCAAAGTCAGGTGTTTTGATTTTAGGTGTAGCGTGACTATGGAAGCATGTTGTTCAATGTTAATTCTTGTTTGTGTGGTGCTTTTTTATTCAGTTGAATTTAGGAATTTCTTCTCCAAGTATGGAAACGTGATCGAGCACCAGATTGTCCGTGATCATGCAACCAATAGGTCTCGTGGATTTGGCTTTATAATTTTTGAAAGTGAAGAGGTTGTAGATGATATGTTATCAAAAGGAAATATGATTGATATGGCAGGTACCCAGGTAAGCTTAGTGAAATTGGACATATCTTTCGAGGAACGGCATGTAAAAAGGTGTTTGGTGGAAGTTGCATCATTGCATTCTCCATTGTCGTATTATTGTCGATATTAATAGCGTCTTGTTAGTTTGGTTAATCATCTCTTCATATCACATAATCCCCCTGTTCTCTACGGGTCATATTATAGGTGGAAATTGATACAGGTTTAGATCTCCTTAGGCAAAGGACTATCAATTTAGTTTACATGCAGCCAAATTTAGGTTAACTGAATTGCTTTATTGTAGGTGGAGATCAAGAAAGCTGAACCAAAGAAAGCCTCAAACCCACCACCTGCTCCTTCATATGGTAGCAACTCTAGGGGCCGTTCTTACGATGATGGTTTTGGTGGATATAGTGGTTCATATGGGGGTTTTGATGGGGGGTTTGGTCCTGGTCCTTATAGAACACACGGGAGTCTTGGTGGTAGACTTGGTGGTGGCTATGGTTATGGTAACGGTGGTGAATTTGGTGGAGGTTATGGCGGCTTTGGAGGGAGTAGCTTAGGCGGCTACCGAGGTGAATCTTCCCTTGGTTATTCTGGCCGCTTTGGTTATGTTGGTAGTTTTGGTGGGGGTTATGGTGGAAGTGGTGTAGGTGGGTATGGTCGTGGAGCTGATGGTTATGGTGGTTATTCAGGTACAGGTTATGGTGGTGGTTATGAATCTGGTCCTGGTGCTAGTTATGGAGGAGGTGGGATCTATGGAAGGGGGGGCTATAGTAGCAGTAGTCGATACCATCCATATGCAAGATAGAATGGACGTTGTGATGAAGTTGCTTAATGTTTGGCAAAAGTTCCATTCAGGCTTTAGATCTGCACTGTGCATCGCTAGGCACTTTCTCACAAGTTCTAGAAGCTTTTACTTATAGCATTTGGGGAAGGCTTTCAAGATCAGAGGACATATCATATTAGAATATTGTTCTATTGTATGGTTTAGAAAACATTCATATCCGTATTTGATTGCCTTGTTCTAGTTTATTTATATTTGATTTATGTAGACTATAGCAAGATATTCTGAAGTTTGCTAGTTAGATGTTTTCCCCCATAGTTTTGTTTTAGCTTTTTATATAGTAATGCTAAATCTTTAGTTTAGTCAATATTTTTTAGTAATCACCTAGATTGCTGCAAATGCCAACTTATTAGGGATTAATGCAGTCTAGGGAAATAAGCTAGATTTGCAATTGTAGGTTGTAGAATATTTTAGTTAGTTTGATTTTTCAGCCACTTAACGTGCTACTATTATTATAGGATTAAGATAGTAATGGTTGGGAAGTGTGAGGATCTTGTTGGGACATTGATCCAATCCTGTCAGCCCTATCCCTAATTGTTCTTCTGAGATACCATTAGGAAGGAGCATTTTAGTACCGGCTTTGATATATCATATATGCTTCTTTAGAGTTATTTAGTTGTAATTGCTGTTGTTTGGTGATGGAGATTGTTCTTTGACTGGTTGGTGTGTTTTTTATTGATGAAATAGCGAAAACGTGCTAATATGTGAAACTTGCTTTTTTTTAATCTCGTCAAGTAGAAGAAACAGAGAGAGAGCTTGTTGGATTGTACCTTCCTTTTTTATCCTTTAACTGTTGTACCGTAAACATTTCGTATTTAATGAAAAAAACTGGTTGCCTTACTATTCTGATTAGGATGTAATGTTGGATGTTATGCCTAAGGTTTGCTATCCTATACATATTGATGGCTGGACAAAAACCCTAAGGTACTGTTCCCTGTTGTACCTGTAAGTCTTCTTGACAATAAGGTCAATCTCGCCCAGTATGATTCGAGTTCCTCTTGTCCCATGAGTGACCTTTTGCTTTCACAAGCTTTTTTGTCCAATCGCTTGAAACCCTCTTGAAATCCAACCTTGGGTCTGGCAAAATCTCTATTGTAAATATTCTCGCGTAGTTTTGTTCCCATCAACAAACAAATGTATTTAATTTTGCAACACTATAATAGCAATAATTCTAATTATAATGCACCAATCAAATACGCTTAATCGGAACTAATCGATATTAGGATAGATGATTCATGGAATGAAATTATCGAGGTATGGCATTACACATTATTATTTTGATGCTATTAGTAATAATTGTTTCTTATTTAGTTGTTATTTTTTTGGTAATTATGGGTTTAGATTTTCTTCTGGCAATGATTTTTCTTTTACCTTATTTGGTTATAAGGAACGTTTCGGTACTTTAATCTTTATCTTTATTAATAACAAATCTCAATCAGCTTTTTTTCCAGAATACTATGGGGAATCTTGTTTGTAGTAAGTCGCCAGAAAAATCATTACACTAATATACAATAACATTTACATTGGTTGATAACATTATTACGATTACAATGTTGTAAGATTAGGGATATACCATGGATGGAATTTTTATAAAATAAACTCAATTAATAATTATTTAGAAATATTGTTTTAACTCTATGATAGTATAAGTTGTTAGTTACGATTATAGGAGTGTTTGATTTGATTGCAATTGTTATATTATATTAATTGGATTAAAAGAAAAACTAAAATTATAAGAATTAAATAAGAATTTTATAATTTTCATAGAACAATTTATATTAAATAATAATATTTTTATAAAAAAATAATTTGAAGTAATTTTTTGTCTTATTCTCATACTTTCTCTCTTTATGATTTAATCCTAAAATTATAAAAAAGGTTATTAATTAATTACTAACGACTTCGTAAAAATTGTCTTCAACTATTGATAATTTATAGGGCTATTGTCCATAGTTTTTTTCATCGAGAGTATATTTAGCCGCATCAAACTGGTATCTTGGTAGAATCTTTTAACGTAAGCCTCGAGAACAGAACTCGAATTTTTGCAGATTCAAGAGGCTCAGTGAGTCGAACTCAAAAACCATTCTAGAAAACCAAAACTGGCGGCCGAGTTGAAGTACGAGATCTCTCAGAACGCTTATATGAAGCTGGTTCTACACGCTCTGAAGCACAAGAGCACGGCGGTCAATGGTATATTACTCGGCCGAGTCAACCCACAAAATGAAAATGTCTTTGAGATCGTTGACTCGGTCCTTCTCTTCCACTCTAATATTGCTTTACTGCCTCCTCTCGAGATCGCCCTCACCATGGTATTCTCTTTTTTTTTTTTTGGTTTAATATTCAATTCAATCTTTATATTCTATTAACAGTTTCGTTCTTCAGTTTTAGAATTAGAGTTTCTTGTTGGTGTAATTATTGGGTTTTCATAAAAAATCCAAGTGGTCAGCTAAGCTTTTTTGGGTAAAGTTATATATTGTGGGCTGGTTTGATTAGATTGAGGAGCATTACGGATCTTAGGCTTGGGAATTGTGGGATATTTCCATGCAAATGAGAGGTTTGATGATGCAGGGCTAGGCATTTGGCAAAGAACATCAGTAATCATGTTTTCCGGTACTTTCCTCAGGCTGCCGTTCTTTTGGTATATGTTAAAATTGGATATATTGTTATATACTTATATATGCTGCTTTGTTTGTTATGGTTGGTCTCAATTGTTTCCTGTTTTTTGGGTTTCGTCTTCTGTAGTTAGATAACAAAAAGCTTGAAGCTGTGCCCAAGGGAAAAGGTCAGAATCCCATGATGCAGTTTCGTGTTCACTCGGTGTTTTAAGTGTTGCCTTTTGGTTTTTTTCCATTCATATGTGGGTTTCTGAAGTATTCCCGTTTTCCATTAATTTTAAGAAACAAATTTCGTGGATGTGGAATTGTCCGGAGACATTCCCCCCCATGTGTTGTGTCTCTGGATATCTTATAGGTGACTTATATTAGCTGTTCCTTTGTGTGTGGACTTTCAACTTTGCTTTAAATGTCTTTGGAGACCATCAGATTTTGTGATGTATTTACGGGGTATATTACCTCCTGTGCTACTGCAAATGTTTAACCCAGATCACATTTTTCGAACTTGGCCTTTGATGCTCTTGTCATTTTCCTTCAAAAGTTGTTTGGTGAATGGATGCATTCATGGATCAACGATTTTTACCCTGCCTTCTGCTAGTAGTGATACATATCTCATCATGCGTTTAGCTATAAAATAGAAATCTAATTAAAATTTTATAAAAAGAGGGCTATTATAATAATTATTTCTAAATTTATAAAAGAAAATTATATTATTACCCCATATCAAAGATTTTTCACTTTTAACTCGATCTCGTTATGACCCATCCCATGCTCTATGAATTCTGATTTGATATGATCTAAATTCGATTTTTTAAAAAAAAAATATACAGTCAAATCAAATTAAAATATATCGATTTCGAGATAAATTAATATTCTAATTATATCATCACTTTATACAAAAAAAGTAGTTGACATGAAAGTTAGAACAATGAACAAAATCAGGGGCTGAAAGTTGAAAAAAGTAATAGATTAGGATAAAAGTTAACAACACACGTTCTTAAGTATTGATATTATAATTAAACCATCTCAAAATAAAATTACAAAACTTGCAGGTCCATATGTTTTATTTTAGAGTTAATTAGAAAATAAGTGCCCAAATAATATCGTTTTTTCTAGAAAGGTGCTCAAACTTTTTTTATTCATCTAGGTCTCTAATATTACAAACATAACCACTTTAAGTGCATTAATAGTAACGGCCGTTAAATTATATCTTTAAAAGACACATGTCACGTTCGAATGATTATAAACAAAATTAAAATATTATTACATTAAAAAACCTAAAATTTTCAAAGAAAAAACTAAAAAAAATCCCAAAACTTGGATAACTTTAATTTCATCACCTACACCTAAATCCACGCCGACTGTCGCCTTTTTGCCGTCGATGAACCTCTATCCAAACTCACCTCCACCTGACGACCAATAACCCCATGAAAAGCCACCAAAACAGGAGTCAATCGATGGCTAATCAATGTGTGTACCCTAATGAACCCTAACGCTACGAATCACGACAAGACGTGATCCTGACAGCAAATCGACGACAAGGATGACAACGTATGAGTTCCGACTAGGAAGATGGCAAGGATGACATCAATATGTTAGGGTTAGATATTTAGGATTTTTAGGGATTTGGGGTTTTATAATTAAGAGGATTTTGGGTTATTTTTTAAATATAATGATGTTTTATTTTTAAATAAAAGTATCAAAATTACCAAAATGTGACACATGTCAATTAATGAAGTTTTTAACGGACGTTACAGTCGGGCACCTAAAATGGTAACGTTTGTAACATTAGGCACATAAATGAATCAAAAATAAGTTCGGGCACATATTTAGGAAAATCGACAGAGTTTGGGCACTTATTTTATAATTAAGTCTTTATTTTATAATATATAAATATTATATTTCTTCGTCTCACTATTATCAATAATATTAAGAGATAACTAAATATTGATGTAAAGATTATACCGAACGAAACATTTGATTTAGTGGTTAAGGCCACCCTATGGGATCATAAGATTAAACCCTTTACAATGCCATTTTAATTTAGTATATTTTCTTTATAGTGAGACAATGAGTCATATTTGATTGGATGAAAATTTTATTTAATTAAATAAAATAAATTAAGAAAAAATTATCAAATCAAGTGATGATATATATCATGATCATGTGTTGACATATATCATATTTTGAGTTGATATGTGTCATATTCTAATTAATTGATTAATTTATTAAATTAAATTCAAATTAGGATAAAATTGATATGATCTGATTATATAAAATTAAATAGTATGTAGTCCAATTGATAAATTTAAAAGATTGATAGTAAAAATAAAAGGATTAAATAGTTAAATGATCAAATGATATAATTTACCTATATTTTTATTAGATTATTGTTGTTGTTTTTAAGGAAAAAACAAAATATAATTTGAACGTTTTACTTAACTTCAATGACCCCTCTTTTTTTGTCTACTTCATGGTAGATCCATCCAACCTCTCTCTCACAAACAAAAGCCTTTTTTCCCCTCAATTTTTTAAAATTCTTTCTCTCTACAGTATTTTGTAAGTGAACAAGCCAGATAAAGCTGGTGTCTTTTTACGCTCCACTGTTAAAGGAATGGCCTCCCAAGTTCCCATCTTTGAAAACTATTTCAGGTACAATTTTCATTTTCCTTCCCAAACTTTCCTCTTTTCTTTGTTCGTAGCTTTAACCGAGTTTTATGATTTACTTGCTGGGTATTTTTTAAGCTTCTACTTTGTCTTTTAGCATATGGTTCATAGTGGGGTTTTGGATCCAAAGGTGGGTCTTTTGTATTTATTGAGAAATCTCTATTGAATCTTCTTTACTTTGTTCTTATCTTCTCCTTTTTGGTTCTTTGTTTATCTTCTCCTTTTCCTGTCTTTTAGAGAGAGCTATGAATCAATGACTGCATTTCTTGCTGTGTTTTGATTGATTTCTTTTATCCCTATTTTTATTTTGTCTGCACCTTTTAATCCTGATGACTCTAAAGGATTGCCATTTTTAGGTAGATTTTTCTTGGTTATTTTGTTGCTTTTAGGATATATTTTGATCTGGTTTTGCATTCAGTTCCCTGTTATTAGTCACTCTGTATTGCCCTTTTCCTCTTTGGTTTTCTGCTTATCTATCCAATTAATTGATTTGGATTGTCTCTAGTTCTTAATCTTGAAAAGGGTATTGTAAAAATCTAGGGTATTATATTTATTTCATGGATCACCTAATTTTTTGATGCAATAGATCAAGCCACTAGTTATGGTTTGTGGAATTTTAATTTAAAGTATACAGTATATATTTTGATTGCCATGTGAATACTTTGTTTGCAGGTGTTAATTTTCTGTTCTTTCAATTTTTTTGTATATCAGTTTTTAGATGTTGAAGATGAAAGTAACTAGAATTGCTGGTGGATGGAACTTTGAGTCGTCGATCGAGGAGAATAATGGGTTTCTGTAGTCTGATCTAAGTAGCAAGTTTTCCTTTTTCGGTGGCCTCGAAATCTGGCGCCAGAGCTTCCCCGGGAAAGTAGAGGGAACTGTTTGGCAACCAAATGGCCACCGAAGGTGATTGTTTTCGGCCTTCTCCTATGCAAATAGCAAAGACGAGCAAATTGGCGCCTGTTACACTGAAGACAACACCAAAGGTTGTACAGCAAGTTGCATCTGAGCAAGTTTGTGTGGACGATGTAAAAGCATCGAAAACTTATAGATTAGAGTCTGTTGATTCGTTGACAGAGAAAGTAGATTCAGGTCTATCATTGGGTAATCGGAAAGAAGTTCCGACTCATGTTGGTTCTGAAGTGTGTCAGGATGGTGGATTACCAGAAGGTTCTGGTAAAGAAGAAACGAAAGCATTGGAACATGGAATTAGTTCAGCTTCGGCTAAATCGAGTCATGGGGCCACTGACCTTTTCAAGACTAGTGGAAGTGCCAAAGTTGGTGATCGTGATTATACCGAGAGCGGTAAGAGCAGTATGTGTAGAGGTAGCACCAGCAGTGATGTAAGCAATGAAAGTTCATATGTCAGCTTAAGTAGCCGGATAAACAGACCTAATAAGACAAACGATATTCGGTGGGAAGCCATACAAGTTGTCCAAGGAAAAGACGGTGTATTGGGTTTGAACCATTTCCGATTATTGAAGAGATTAGGCTGTGGGGATATTGGAAGTGTCTATCTTTCGGAACTAAGTGGAACAACGTGTTATTTTGCAATGAAGGTGATGGACAAAGCATCTTTAGCAAGTCGTAAGAAACTACTTCGAGCTCAAACTGAGCGAGAAATACTACAATCCTTGGACCATCCCTTCCTCCCAACTTTGTATTCCCATTTTGAGACTGATAAATTTTCATGTTTGGTGATGGAGTTTTGCCCTGGTGGTGACTTGCATACACTACGACAGAGACAACCAGGAAAGCATTTTACCGAGCAAGCAGTAAAGTATGTGAATTCCTCCTACCTATTAACATCTGTAGAGTTAAATGTGTATCGAGTTTGTATGATTTAATTATCATTGTTTGCTTTTATCGGTATTGGTTTTAGTATTACTTTTAGTATCGTTGCAACATGCCACCTTATAGGTTTATATGTTATAACTGATAATAGTTATATGAACCAATATATAGATGAAACCGTATAGTTTACCACAACATTACTCTTCGGTCTCATGTTCGATGCGTATCCAGTCATGAGTATGGAGACAAGACGCTCCATATACATGCAAAAATTGGAAAAATCAAGCGTACTCATGTTGGTATTTACACCCGATTCTGAGTAATATAAGTTCTGTGTTTCTTTCTAGCCAAAGAAATTAATTTATTGTGGTAGTTCTGAAGGGTTATTTTATGACTACACTAGCTTAGACTGTATTTCTCTTCTATGCATTTGTGGATCTGTCGATCTAAGAATTGCTTCGAATTAAAGGTTGAGTTTTGTTTCAGATAACAACTCCGAATTCTTTTACCCGTAGATGTTTTGACAGTCTCTGATTTGCATAATAATCATGTGGCAAGGAGTGATTTGTTTCTTTGTAACTTAATGACAATAAGATGAAACTGAAGTCCAATAGTCATTGCTATGTTTTCCTTCAATATGTAGATTCTACGTAGCGGAAGTTCTCCTCGCTTTGGAATATCTCCACATGCTCGGTATCGTTTACCGTGATCTCAAGCCGGAAAATGTTCTTGTTCGAGAAGATGGACACATAATGCTTTCAGACTTTGATCTTTCCCTCCGTTGTGCTGTCAGCCCGATCCTAGTCAAGTCATCCGCACTAGAGTCTGAACCCTTGCGGAAGAACCCAGTTTATTGGGTACAACCAGCTTGCATTGAGCCCTCATGCATTCAGCCAGTGTGTGTGACTCCAACGACATGTTTTTCTCCTCGCTTCTTTTCATCAAAATCAAAGAAAGACCGAAAACCGAAGAATGAAATGGGAAAACAAGTCAGTCCATTGCCTGAGCTTATTGCCGAGCCAACCAATGCACGGTCCATGTCGTTTGTAGGGACCCATGAGTACTTGGCACCCGAAATTATCAAAGGTGAGGGACACGGAAGTGCAGTCGATTGGTGGACCTTCGGGATATTCTTGTACGAGCTATTGTTTGGTAAAACTCCTTTCAAAGGGTCTGGGAACCGAGCAACACTGTTCAATGTTGTAGGGCAGCCCTTGAGATTTCCCGAATCACCGGCCGTAAGTTTTTCAGCCAGAGATTTGATAAGGGGCTTGCTAGTCAAAGAGCCACAGCAGAGACTGGCCTATAAGCGAGGTGCAACGGAGATTAAACAACATCCTTTCTTCGAAGGCGTGAACTGGGCTTTAATCCGTTGTGCGAGTCCACCGGAGATTCCAAAACCGGCTGAGATCGAGCGGTTTTCCGCCCCAACATCATCGGCTGGCAATAAACCTGCTGTTCCTGCTACCAAGGACCAAAATAACTATCTGGAATTTGATTTCTTTTAATCGTTCTCACTTCTCAGAACCATTTTCCTTCTGTTTCTGTTTCTGTTTTGTTTTGTTCGTCTGTTTTTTCATTTCAGAAATGTAGAATTCATGAAATGTTGATGTTATGCAAAGGGGTCAGCCATTGAAAGCGTCTCGATTTCACCAGAACTCATTAGTGTATATTATAAAGAAAAAAAAACATTCATTAATAATTACGTCTAAAATAAAATATTCTGTTAATATAATGAACCGATAGTTGATAAAATATATAAACTTTATTCAAGTTGCTAAACTTTTATTATTATATTTTGATAACTTTATTTCATATGTCATGGGTCGTTCGGATTTAATTAATTATCTCGTAGTGCTGCCATTATTATTATTATTAATTCTGGATAATGGACTAAATTCCATCTATCAAGGTCAACATAACACATGCAATTCTAAATAACATAATTAGTCACTAATTCTGTGGGGGGGGGAAACATTTTTTTAAGTTTTTTTAATTTAATTACCCTTTAAATGTTTTTAATTATGAAATTAAACAAATTAAGTCTCAAATCTCTTGTCTTATGGGTTAAGCTAATCTTAACTCATAATTTTTAGGTCAAATTATAATTAGCGAACTTGGTCAACCTTTTTGACATGGAAACAACGAGAGGTTTAGAGGTCAAAGAGATCGTCCTTTTACAATTTACAGGTTTACGACCCTCAAATCAAAACCATTATCGTCTTCTCTTTGATTTAATTTTATATCATTATTTAATATAAGTAAAAATGTTCTTTTATAAATAGGGTTGAGATGGTTTTAAAAGATCTAAAAATAATACATGATGGTCATATTAAATATATAAAATATACGATAATTTTAAATTTTTTCTTTCCTTTATTGCTTAAAATTAAAAACAAAACAAATTGGAAGGCGACCCATCAACGGCAAATTTAGTGGCAGATAATAATAAATGGTGAATGTATTGGCCAAAATAATGGAAAATAGTTTATTCATAAAGTAATATTTAGTAATGCTAAATAATATTTAAATATTTTCCACTTTTTTTTCGAACACCTTAGTCTATCCATGTCATACACTGACAGTGTCTTTTTTTAAGGTAGTGTCTTTTATCATATTAAAACAAGTTTTTCATTTTTTATTTGTATACTGATAATTTCTTTCTTTTTGGTGATATAGAATTTTTTATTTTTAACCATATATATATATATATATATATATTAATTTACACCCAAGGTGTGTTGATTCAAATAATATCTATTAGGTGTGAATCAATGAATGTGTCTCAACGACTACCCTATATTATAGCTCACAAAACATCTACCGCTCTTTAATACTATCGTTGATTTTCCTTCTTCCTGAAAGAAAAAGAAAACTATATACTGGGATATTTTTCTTTCTAATTTTCTAATTACTTCATTTTCTTGCTAATTTTAACCGAAGTTATGCCTGCTTTTTAAACACTTGCTCTAAAGCAGCTGATAAGAAAATTTTCAGTTTTTATTATTAATATTTTTCCTTCTGAAAAAGTTCTCTCTTTCGGTGGTCCTTAAGCTTAAAATCTCCAATTTTAAGTTGTAAAGAGAGCGAGGAGGAGAGATCAAGTAGAACTCGAGCTTTATTCAGTTAAAGCTTTAGTATTTTGTTATCAAATTTGTTCTTTTACGTTTTGTTGTCGTTAATTTGTGAGGAAGACAAAATGAGCAATGTTCATGAAGAAGCTATCAAGAAATTTGTGTCTTTGATGGAAAATGGTGAGATTTAGGTGTAAAGAGATTGATTTTTTGTCATCTTATCTTTCTGGGGTTTCTCTCTTTTTGATCCGCAAATCACTAACAATATTTTTTTTGTTTGCTAATTTTCCTTTTGGAAAATTTGACTTAACAGTTGACGAGAAAATGAAGGGCACATTTCAGGTTAGATTTTTTTTTGGGATTTTCTTTTTATATATTTGGATGCTGATATAAGGGGCTGCAGATAATAAATACGAGCTAATATGTATTTTCAGTAATAATTTGCTTAGTTTTTAAAGCTGATTTCAGCTGTGGACTTGATCCGATAGCTCCTTTTTTTTTTTGCAATTTCATGGTTAAGAGTTTATATTCTTTGCTGATTCTGATCTATCTTTTGCTTGATCTATCTCAGTCAACTGTTTTTTTCTGTTCTGTGAATTTCTAGTTTGTTTCCATTAGGAGATTTGTTTGTTCTCACTGTTTATGGTTGATGTACCCTTATTCGAAACTCCCATTTAAGGCCGAGCATCCTAGTTATATAAATTGGAAGAAGCTTAGTTCCCAGTAGCTAATTTTAATCTTCTTTTTTTTTACTACAAAAGCTTGGTAGTTAGTTATCATTCAATGGTGAGGTGGTATACTATTATCGAATTGTAAGCTCATTCGACGAGTGCCACAAAGAATCTAGATCTCTATGTATCGGTATAGATAAATTAAATGCCGGTGATAAGGTTTCCTTCCCATTAACCCTTTTTCTTATATATATTTGAGGTGTTACGAGGAAGTTTTGCTATATCAACCTGTTTTTATGGAATTGTGTGGATCAAATGGATGAATACAGCGTTTTAAATCCATGTTTTATACTATGGTCGGCCGAAGTTAAGTTTCAAGTTGACTTTCTTGGTTTGCAGAACATGCACCATGGGTATCTAGCTGAAACACTAGAGAGGTTTCTGAAAGCAAGAGACTGGGATGTTCAGAAAGCCTATAAAATGGTGAGTTCCTCGGGGTCCCCTTAAGCAATAAAAAATGTTGTGTACCAAAGATCTCTTCATTCTTGTCCTCATTTCCCGATTCCTGTTTATTAACTCCTATATTTGTGTGTTCCAGTTAACTGATTGCTTACAATGGAGAATACAGAATGAAATTGACAATATATTATCAGTGAGTTTTCTGATTATAAACTAATCGATTACTATTATGTTTCAGTTCATGATATTGCAAAACTATACTGCTGAAACAGCCTGATTTATTGTGGAAATTGGTGATGCTCGAGATGATTCATTTATTCTTTATTGTATAGAAACCAATTATTCCAGCTGACTTATATAGAGCAGTGCGAGATTCTCAGCTTGTAGGATTGTCGGGTTACTCAAAAGAGGTATTTACTTGTAGGATTATCGGGTTTGATTTCCCTGGCAGTAGATTCAGTGCCTCACATTTGTTTGCCAACATTATGTTACATTCGAAAGTAGTTCCATGATTAACTCATCATGCTTTTGATATTTCCAGGGTCTTCCTGTCATTGCTCTCGGTGTTGGACTCAGCACATATGACAAAGCATCCGTAAGGAGATCGGAACTTGTTCTAACCTGAAACTTGCATTTAAGACTGTACAATCCGGCAATATGAACTTTTAATTGAGCTTGCTATTAAAGCTGTTTTGAAAGAAATCATCCGGAGCTTGCCATTGAGCTTTGAATTAGCAATATGATCTTTAAAACTTTACTTTGGTATAACTTATTAGGACAACAGAAGTTAATTCGTTTTTGAAATGTGCTTAAAAATTCACCAGGACATACTATGATTCCCCACTCGTTTTCCTTCATACGGATTTGTTCCATTAATAGTTTTTGCTTGATGGAAAGCATCTTTTGGCTATGTTGCTTTGATTCTTCATTTTTCTTGAAATTTTCATGCCGATTAACATGGTCTTTTAGCACTCTAAGATACATGTATGTACTTCAGCTGCAGCGTATGGAGTTATTTCCGTGATACTTAAATGTAATTCTTTTGTGTTCCTAGGTGAATTACTATGTACAGTCACACATTCAAATGAATGAATATAGAGATCGCGTAGTACTGGTGAGTACAGACTCAGATATTTCTCACTTCACGTGTGTACTTACTTTTTATATGGTCTAACATGTTGCCTCTATAACAGCCAGCGGCCACAAAGAAGTATGGACGACATATTGGAACATGTCTGAAGGTTTTGGATATGACTGGCTTGAAGCTTTCGGCATTGAACCAAATAAAGGTGTCTTTTAGTTACCACAGAAATTTTTTCCCGACCATCTCTTTATCTCCATTTCTCTCTCCAACATTGTCTCCTTAATCTACAACTTAACTCCTCGCCTGATTTCAATGTAGTAATTCAACTGTTGTGATGTGATTTATCTATTCCTGTTTAAATAAAGCCTAAATTTTGCTCCTAAGAACTTAAAACCCTTTTCCAGTCATTGGTGTCCAGTTGTTATATATCTCTTTTTTTTCTAATGCTGGTCGGTCTCATTGGTTGCTTGCTGATGCAGCTACTGACTACTATATCAACAATTGATGACTTGAATTATCCGGAGAAAACGGAGACATATTATATTGTCAATGCGCCATACATATTTCAACATGTTGGAAGGTATTTGTTTGACAATTCCGTTGTTCTCTCGTAGCTAACTCGTATGAACATGTATTCTAATGCTTTTCTGTAAATGGCAGGCTGTTAAACCTCTCTTGCAAGGAAGGACGAAGAGGAAAATTCAGGTGCTTCAAGGTTGTGGACGGGATGAGTTACTCAAAGTAAGAAAGAACTCATCTATGCATGTTCGTAAAACTATCTTGAAAGCATGTTTCGGTTTCTTTTAGCTGCAATACTCTCTCGTTCTTTCAGATGCAATACTTTTGATACGTTCGTTCCAACCATGCAGGTAATGGATTATTCATCCCTTCCACATTTTTCTCGCAAGGATGGTTCCGGGTCATCACGAAACAGCAGCAGCAATGGAACCGTAGATAATTGCTTCTTATTAGACCACACCTATCATCGACAGCTTTACGATCACATAAAGCAACAAGCTAAACTTATAGAGACTGGTAGGCCAATCAAACAGGGATCAGTTCACGTAGATTTTCCTGAGCTGGATCCCGAAGATGCCAAGATCGCAAAGACCATCGAATCCGAGTTCCAGAAGCTTGCAGACCAAAATGGTATATGCAACTCCCTAAATGGCGTTAAAGTGAACGGTGATTAGATCTTTACATACTACTGATTACATATATTGTCGAAACTTGGCACATTGACAGGAAAAGGATAATCAAACGACATTAGAATGAGAGGCCTTGTGATATTTCAGTTATCTTATGTAATAACAGAGCTTTCTTACATCTGATTCGATCAGATGACTAATCAAATTTCATCCCACCAAAATCAAATTTTACACCAAAAAGTAAATATTAAAAAAGTAAAAAAAAAACATAAAAATTCCAGAAGGGCTTATTACAGCCCTATAGGGTTCTATCTTGTTTGGGATGGTGGAGTTTTGAACATTCTTGTGGAAAAGCTCTATTACAGGCAGGACTATTTTAAGATTCCGCCGGCGGAGCTGCCATGCAGCAAAGCCATTTTTTCTGAAAAACAAAACAGCAACGAATCAGGATAGAAATCGAGAATCACAACGGTTTATAACAATTGAGTTATGGCTGCTGCCTGGTATATGCATTTCGATGTGAAGAAGTATGGTCATTAGAGGCTACTTACAGGTTGGGTTTTGGTGGCTTCTGCTCCAGGCTTGCCATTATTATCACCTCCTGAAGGTGGTTCAACTTTTCCTCCGGTTTTCTTCTCGTCCTTGCCTTGTTAAAGATCACGGTAAATCCTTCGGCTGATGCAGGATCATTGACATCCCATTCACCAAATTTTGGCAATGGCCGACCCTTGTCCTACCGGAGCAAAAAGAAAAGTTAAATGCAACACATTCCAAGTCATTATAGGCTTCTAAATTTTGAAAAAGAATTGAAACACAACTGCCAATGTATTTTGTTGTTCAGTAGATAACTACGAATAGAATGCAGCACATTCGATTAAATATAACTTCACTGAGACAAACCAGCAACCTCTATATGCCGGAAAGCTCCTATAAATGAGATCTCCTTGACACTATAAGGTTCTCACATAACTTCAATTTCAGCTTAAAATAAAGTAAAACATATTCAACAAACGCAAATTAGTTTGCAAGCTTTGCAATATTGAGGGCAAACAGATGTGGGTTCAACGAGCCTATCCAAACCATTTGAACTATTACAACTCATTTACAGACTTAAACAGACCGCGGTCCGTTGTAGCTACATCCAAAATGGGATATGACTAACAAAAACATTCATAAATGGTTCACGAAATAACTGTTCTAAGTAATCATATAATCATTGATTGGTGACAATTACCATGCAAGAAGAGATGTCTGTGGGTGCAACAACGGAACAACGACAACCCGAGATAGCAACAATACAACGAATTACACAGTAGCTTGCAAATGAGCAATTATTGAGTACAATTCACAATAATCATTGAAGGGCATGAAAAAAGTTTCCACACAAAAAGCATTATCATTTATAAAAAAACCACAACCGGATAACTTGAAATGATCACAGTCGTGGAGATACAGTGAAAAGCTTATCTTGAAACAATATCGACCAAAAGTCGAAGTAACATAAACTAACAATCAAAGTTATATCAAGTCATTGAAATCCAAGCATAAATTAGCCACATCTTTCGAAATAAAACATTGTCGTAGATCTCGGAAAATGAACAAATTTTGTAGGCTAATGAAATCCAAGCTATTATTTACAAATTAGAAGATTAAAAATTCCCGAAAAAAGCTAATTGATATTCCAGCTCTTGATACGTTCTCAAAGAACTTCAAGGCAATCCTAACTTCTCAGGCCTTACTTAATGGATTCAGCAATTAATCAGAAGCTACATTTTCAACACAAAACCAATGATAAATTAATTGAACTTTTCTGGTTCCTGAAGACCGAGATTCTGAAATCATGCTAAGATATGTTTCCTGATGCATCCCATTTTCGTTCAATATAAATTCCAACTTCCAGAGTTCTTATTGAATGGAATTACTTTTAAAAGAAACAAAAATTTCCAACCAGAAACACGCTATTGCACAAGAAAAATCGATCAAACTAAACAAAAAGATCAAAACCAATTCCCCTTTAAGCTCATGAAAGAAAACAGGAACCGAAAAGATACAAAACAGGGTAAAATATTGATCATAGAAAACAAAACGTGCCCATTTAGGGAGAAAAACTTTGATTAACAACAACATCAAGCTTGATTCGTTTTCGAAAGCAAAGGGAAAATTCAGTAGAACAAAGAATCAAAACCCAAAAACATATGAATCAAAACAATCTCAGAAGCTCAAATACCATTAAGAACAAGACAAATCAAATGAAAACAGCAAAACTCAACCTTTATCAACAAATTCTAACAGAAATTTATCGAAAACCCAGAAATGATTCCATACCGACATGAATTCTTGACAAATAAACTTGTTCGCGTGACGATAGATAGTTCGATATAAATTTAGAGAGAGGAAATGATAGCTTTTTAGAGGTATAAATCTAAATGAAAATTTTTAAGACATAAATAGGGAAGAAGAAGGCGCAAAAATAATAAATATATCCGGGGCATGGGGTAAACGCCGTTAGTTTTGACGGTTACCGGAACTAATAATGGGAAGAAAAAGGAAGAATAGTCGTCAATGGAACCGCAAGTGATTACGTGAAAGGTGCACAAATAACGGGGAACGGTACGATGAACTGGCAAAATGGTGCGGTTTCAGATGTTGGGTTACATGGAGGCAAAGAGGAGAAACGATTTGCTGGCACTGTTTACGGATTTGGAGTTTTTTAAAGATTAGTTTAATTTAATTATTTTGATTGTCTTTGAATAAACAAATCATTAACTTTGAATTTTTATTAAATTTTTTTTCAAAATTTCTTGTCCCTATTCGATTTCGTTATGAACTGAAATTCTTTTACAAAGGAAAACATAAATAATAATTACAAGGTCAAGTGCAGTGAGCGTCTTCCTAGTTAATGTTGCTACATTCTGTCTGCCATGCCCACCTCAACACATCTTCCCAACATTGGGAATCTAAACATTTTGCAGGACACCACCGTATTCTAACCACAACTCTAACTCTTGTGTTGGGTTTGTTTGCATTTCTGATTCTGACCCATAAATCTATGCTTCGGCCAACTTATTCAGGGCCATGGTGGACCAGTTTTAAGCTATTACTGTTTCTTGGTTTTAATTTATTCTTTTTTTTATCTAATTATTGATATTTATTTCTCTTACATATTAATTCGAATCAAATAATATATGTATCTATTGAATCACACTTTTAATCGAGTTTGTTCCATTAATATTTTAATTTAAATCTTTAGTTTTATCTAATATCTTATCTCACTAAATTATAATTTAATTGTTAAACAGCAATATACTATATCTATAGAGGGACAGAATTAAAAATTTATTAAAAGGAAATTAAAATAAAATAGAGAGGTTCGATATTATATAAAATCAATAATCACATAAATAGTACCTATTGTTTTTTAATTGAATGGGGCCGGCTAATATAACTTTTTTATTTATATTTCAAAAACTAATTCTTTTCATGTTAAAAAATAATAATTAATAGGGACCAAATCAGCTGCTGGTCCCTGCAATGCCCATGTCCCATGTGTATACTGCCGGGTTGCTGTCTAATTTCACGTCTCTGTCCGAGTAATTTTCCTCTCACTTGAAAGCGTCTTATTTACGCGTATGCACAGTTCGTTTTGCTCTCTATAAACAACGGCATCCTGCAAAGGATGATGAAGAATGCAGGTGCTGTTCATCAGAGAGCAAATGAAAGAAAATAGGGAGGGACAAAAATGGAGGGGTTAGAGGTCAAGTTGGATTCTCCACACTTTATTCATTGGCTTCAAACCCAGGGTTTGCCCTTTGGCTTTTGTTCCTCACTTATTTCTTCCATTTTCTCCTCTCTGATTGGCCTTCTTTATTTAACAGTTTTTGTTGTTATCAAGTATCAAAATCATGCAATCCAGCATCAGAATTTTCTTTCATTTTTGTTCCTCACGTATTTCTTCCATTTTCTTCTAACTTGCAACCTTAACATATGTTTTATATAAGGGTGTAAATGAACCGAGTTTGAACGAATAAGATTGTGTTTGTGTTCATTTGTTTATTTGTTAAGGTGTTCATGTTCAGTCTGTGTTTGTTTAAATTTTTAGCATTGTGTTCGTATCTGTTTATTTATTTTTAAAGGTGGTTCTTTAAACGTCATCGTTTACAATTTCATGAACGTATTCATTTTTGTGTTCGCGAACGTGTTCATTTAACATTCACGAGCATATTCGTTTGTATGGTTCAATTTTTCAATAAAAATATATGTCGAATGTTTCCAATAATATATTTTTAGGTGTCAAACGTTAACTGTCGTTAAAAATCTCCATTAAGTGACACGTCATATTCTGATAATTTTAAGAATTTATTTAAAAATAAATAATAAATAAAAATATTTTTATTAAAAAAAACCCAACAACAATTCTGTGATTCCTCCCTTCTCCCTCCTTCCCCTTCCATAGCAGCCAACGGGTTAGTCATGACTATAATAAGCATCGAAGTTGACCCTGATCAAAATCAGGTCTTTCATCGTAATCTATCATCGTTTTCCGTAAAAAAGTGTTCAAAAGTTCGTCTAATTTAAGGCACCGTCGTTCTTCTTCTTCGATTCCAACGTCCATAAACCACATTGTTACTACCATTTGAACCACCGTGCAATTTTGATCAAAACTGAACCGTTTGAAAATGACGACAGTGGCTAGAGATAACCGGCGAGGGTTGGTAACAAGGGTTGAAATGATAAATTTTAGTTTTTAAGATTTTTTTATATATTTTTAATAAAAGTTTAGGTTTTTTTATAAATATCTTAAGTTTTTATTTATTTTTTTCTTTTTTTAAAAAATAATATAAAATTAAAAATACAATGATAGTAAGTTAAAATTATAGCTGAGAAAATCTTAGACACTTAATTTTAGCAATTTTTTTTAAAAGTTAAAATATTTTTCGAGATATAATTTAAATAATTATTTTTATATTAAATAAATTAGGGGAAAAAAAACTATCACCCATGAACGAGATCTATTAAGAGAAAATCAATTGAAGTATCCAAATCAATGGTGCATAATGAGATTATTAGTTAAGTGTCAATTAAAAAAATATTAAAATAATCAAATAAACAACAATTAAAAAAGACGACGGTAAATTTAATCATGAAAAGGAACTAAAAATATACTTTAATAAGAGTGGAATAAAAACATATTTATTATTATGAATAAAAAATTAAATACCTATTAAGTGAATTACGTAAATTTTAAATATGTAAAAGAAATTAAAGAGATGAAGAAGAAGAAGAAGATAATGAAAATTATAATACGATGTAAATGACAGATATTTAGTTAAAGATTGGCGGCATCGTCTTCCTAAATAATTAAGAAGAAGAAGGAACTATAAATGAATAAATAATTGTTTTACATCGAAGTTGAATAGATATAACAATAACAACAAAATTCTATTCTCATATGTAATGGGGTAAGGGGAGGTAGGGTAGTAGACTGTCCCAACGCCAAGTTGATAGCAACTTCCGTGAAAGACATCCGACAGTCAAAAAAATAAAAATAAAGATAAAATACAATGTATAAATAAATAAATACATAGTTGAACAGTCTTCATATGCTTTCTTCATATACGCGTCTGTAATGGAAGTAATCCTTGTAAATAAATCCATGCATAAAAAATCTTTGTATATAGACAGAAACGTAAGACCCGACTAAATTTAAAAAGATGAAACATGAAGAGAAGGATATACAGAAGTCAACGATAGCAAACTACGAGAAGGAATAAAGTTAAAATGAATTAAAACCTAAACTAAGACAACACTACTCCGCTACCTTAGTTCTAAACCTTCATAAATTCCAATGATAGAAACGTATATGAAAATTACTACAAATGTATTAAAAGAAGATAGAGATAATACACCCTATGGATGTGACCCGCACTACTCGGCTACCATGGTCTTAAGTCTTCATACTTTCCTATCAGAGGTCATGTCATCGGTAAGGGTTAAATCCTTCAAATTAGATCTCCAGCAGTCTTCCCACTTCCGCCTTAGTTGTCATCTCCTTCTGACACCGTCGATTATAATCGACTCTAGATCTCAAGATATCTTAATCGAGCGAGTACACATGAACCCACTAATTAATTTAAAAAACAAAATAATTGGTTCGTTTCCTTCCTTTTGATCACAAAATGAAATTGCATCACTATTTCCAACGAGTTTCTTAGTGAAACTACATTGTGTTTTGCTCGTTAGTTGTTTTAATAATTCTCTCGTGATATTCCCAATTCCTCCCTCAGCCAAATTGAACAAATTTTCCATCTACTTTTCCTGCCTTTCTTATCATCGACTTTCTCCGCGTTTTGGGATAAGAAGATACTTTCCAACATAATAGAACAACTTTTCTTTTGAAGAGCGGAGAAGTGGACGTGTTAAAATTTAAATTTTATTCGATTAGTTATTTATTTAATTTATAATGTTCATTCTGAAATTGTTTGTGTCCAATTAAAATACGAGTTTTCTTTGATTAATTATTTATCTTACGGACAATGTTAGGCCTAAAAAAGTTAAGGTTTAGAACTCATCGAGTAAACTCAATTTTAAAAAGGAATATTATTTTTTCTAGAGGTTCCAAGTTCAAATAACTATATTTGTAGGATTTTTACATTATCAATAGTTATAAAGGATATATAGTAAAGAAGAGTGTTATTCTTTTACAAGATTCGAGTTTGAGTAGGTGCATGCATCTGTAAGACATGTTGTTAATAAATTGATTTTTTTTAAATAGTTAATATATTATAATCACTCTATAGTATTAAAAAATATTAACGCTCAAATCAACCATTAATATATAAGTTTATACCTATTATTAAAATAAATATAAATTTTTTCTTAAGATTATATTTAAATCTAGGACAAATACTAATCATTTAAATAAAAGATGGTCACTTGGAATTATATTTCCTTGTTGACATCAAGGTTTTGTGGACAATTTCGATTAACTTTCGTTTCATTTGTGTAGAAATTGTGTTCATCCCCAGAGTAATCGTACCAGGATTGCCTATAATACTGGCGTGACAGTATGAAAATTAAATTTTCTTCCTTTATGCTTGGTGGGTTCGGGTTTGAAATTAAATATGTATCATACTAAAATGTTTAACTGTCGTTGCACCATCTCCATTAAATATTAACAATGGTAGCAATTTAAATATTTTAATATTTTAATTAATAAAATTAAAGATTAATGATCAAATTAATTTTTTCAATAACTAAATGGTTACGAGTGTAATTGTCAAAGAAAAAAAAACTTTTTTCTTGTCAAATTAACATATAATTACACTCATAATTACTAAAATTTAAATAACATTTATTTTGGTTCTTAAAATTTACAATTACATTATGATTACTAATATTATTAATAAACTATAAAAATAATATTATATATCGTAAATGTAAGTTATGCAGATTAATAAAAAGAAATATCAACATGAATTAACTGACCTCCGTGGCAAAATAATTGTTGTTATTCCTTGAGGACCCGAGTTTGAGCACCATAGATACCAAGGGTGTGAACGGTTCAATGTCGAAAGATTGAGAGTTTATCTTTAAACAAATATTGTCTTATATTTACCCCAAATTAATCAAAAATAAAAAGAAATAATTTAAGTTAATTCCTAAACGAATACTAAAGTTTAAATTGAGTATTTTAACAATTATTTTTAATAATTAAAAAAAAACAATGGGGTATACGAAACTCACTATTACAAAAAATCTAGAATACACAAATGATTTCTTAGCTATAAGACATTGATTCCTTGAGTTTTCATATTATTAAAAGTTATAAATAATTATTTGATTATTCATATGTTTTAAATTTTTATTTTCTGTTAAAAATTAACAGCAGTCTGAGTTGGATGTTAACATGTTGATTACGGTATGATAAAATATAATCTCAATATCTTAAAAGATTATTATATCTCAGTCAACATGTTAACTTCAGCTCAGACTGCATCGATTTTTTTTAATGAAAAACAAATTTGAAACATATGAATAAGACTATTTTATAATTTTTAATAGTCGAAAGTTCAACAAAATAGTATCATATAATTAAAAGATATTATTTATAACTTTAATAATTAAGGACTCGATAAATAACACCCTATAATTGATACCAATTGTATACTTCACCTTCAAAAATTGAAGCGCAAACATCCTTGGTTAATCGGATCTCCAACGATCCCATCGCTGCCTAAAACCCTAAACAACTCTTGTTTAGGGGGAAAGCCATTTCATCCATCTCACCTTCCGTATTAATTTTAGGAAATTAAGTTCAACCCATCCGTAAGTTGTGAAAGAATTATTGTTCTTTTTAAAAGTTCTAGTTTCGAGCGGTTGTATTTGTAGGTTATGTACATTATGGATTGATTAAGAAAATTTTGAATAGATACTACATTTTAATCACCCTAGATTGTTGAAAAAAAATATTTCGAGAACTCCAATTCAAGATTTAATTGAGTTAAGTTTGAGAATGTTTTGAGTTCAAGTTTTTTCGAGCTCGGGTAGGGCTTCAATTTATTATTTTGCTTTTGAGTTGAAATTGTGAAATTTAACTTTTTAGCCTACGAGCTTTTGAACTTTAATTTTTGATCTCGAATTTGGGTCAAGTTCGACAATTTTAAGTTTACGATTTTTTGAGTCAGTTCAGTTCGACTTTAAAATTTTCAAATCGTGTCGATTTGAATAATACTCAAACTCGACTCGACTCGTTGTACCCTAATTGCCATGGTAATATTCAATCCAAATATAAGATGTTTTATAGGTAATTTATATAGATCTTAGAAACGATGACAAACCACTAAGGGTGCGTTTGGTTCACGGAATGTAAGATTACCAGTGGGAATAAAAGATTACCAGGGAATAGGATTATTGGGAATGTTGTATTTTGTGTTTGGTTGGTTTAGCAGGAATATAAAATTACCGTGTTTGGTTAAAGGAATAAAAGATTATTGGAATGTATATTTGACCAAATTGTCCTTATTATATATTTGTATAATATTACAAATTGTAAAATATTTATATATTTTCTTTAAAAAATTAAATTCATAATATTTATATAATTTTTTTTACAAAATTAAAAATATAAAAAATGTTTAATGAAAGGGTAAATTTTTTTAACCCCTGAACTTCATATAAAATTTTAATTATAGACTTTTTTTGTAAATCTAAATAATTTAAGGATAAATTTGTAATTTAACCTTCGTAGAATTTTTATTATTCAATGACAGAAGAAATATATTTTTGAAAAAAAATAAAAATTTAAGGGCATTTTAGTCCAAAACGTCGGTAATGTTACAATACCTAAGGGAAGGGAGGTAATGACATTCCCGATAATATACCCTAAAAAATCTACTATTGGTAATAAAACATTACCGGGAATGAGATTCCCGGCCAATCAAACATGGAAATGTGACAATCCTTGAACCAAACACCCCCTAAAAGGTAAGGAGGAAATATGTTGAAATTTGAGGTCTGTTGGGCGGGTTTAATAGTAACCAGTTCATTTGGACCTTTGTAGGATCATTGCCTTGTATTTTGTTAGCCCATTGTTATGGCCAGGTCGGGCTGGAACAAAGACAGCTTAGCCTGGTCCAAACTTTGAAGCTTTACACAAGTTTATTTTTTTAAATTAAATTTTATATTCAGGTTTATGTCTGTCCAGTGTATACGACTCACGTTGCTTGCCAATTTTTAAGCATCTCCTATACATTTTACATGGACCAATTTTATTTGAAATAAATTTATATTCATTTCCAAAGACATTACGATAATAATGATACGATAGCTAACTACATCAGCAAATACATCATAACCAGCACTCCTCCGAGAGCCGTCATGAAATATGATGCAACCGTCTGCTTGATGGTCGAATTTTGCGGCTGAGCCCCCCAAAACGAGTCCCAACCATCCCCGTAATCGTTTTCCATAGGCGACGGTGCCGGCCGAGGAGAGCTGATCGAAGCCACAGGGTGCACCCTTACTCGAACGATCAGTTTCTGACCGGCTTGACAGTGACCTAGCTCCCCACTGATGAAGTAGAAGAACCCGTACCGGTCGAATACGAAAACCCTTTCGCCGTCTTTCAACTTAAAGATAGGATCAGCAACATTGCAGTTGGTGTAGCTTGTAGAGTCCACCACCAACACCGAGTCATTGTTGTACTCGAAATCTACCAACACACAAGTACACAACCAAACATAAGCAAAACTATGCGCTTGTATGTATGTATAGTAGACCTACAAAGTGAATCCCCAACGTGAAAGCGGTTCCTGGAGGCCCATTCGTTGTAAGTTTCGGATTTTCCAGTTGCTTTTGTCCAAAGCCGTGACTAGGTTGTTGGAGGTCCTGTCTAAATTCTTGTAAATGAATCCTTAGATCTCGAATTTATTTTTCTAAAATAATAAATGACTAATTTCATTAATTTAGCAGGCCCACTTGCGTTGTTTTTCCTAAAAATAATTTTACTTGTTAACGAGAATCGAATTTAGGATTATCAAAATCATGACCTCAATGATCTAATCATTATTCTATACCTATTTTTCTTCTTAATGACAACAACCGATAGATATACTTTATTTCGGGACCTTTATTTTTTGAGGCCCTGCGCCGTAGCGCACTTTGTGCTGGCTCAGCCTCGCCCTTGGTTTTGTCCAACCTTTATCCCCACCAACTTTGAACTGAAAAGAAGCAGTGGCGACGGTGACCGAGACAAAAACTAGAAAAAACAAAGAGAATTTGCAGAGTTTCTGAAGTGAAAATGAAGCCATTTTTAAAGCTTGAATTGTTGTGGGAATTTGAGCTGATATATAGAACCAGGGCGAGGAGCAAAGTTTCCAACTTTATAAGGGAATTGCAAAAGTGGGCGGTGAAATGGCAGTTACGTGACTTACCTTTACTTTGTGGGGTTGATAGTGGGGTTCTACAGTTAATGATCTGATAGTCCCACGTTGTTTTGAGCTTTAACTTGGTCTTACTGTTTTCCCCTGGATTCAACTCCAGTGTATGATCAACGGCTGTAATCCTCGGATTCTTGTTGATCAGAGAATAGACATGCATGCCGTAGCAGTTCTTGATAACTTTCATCTTATAAAACCTCTCACTTGTTCATAATAGCTTTTAAACCTCTCATTTATTAATTAAGGGATGATTGTCAATTGAGTATTATTTAAGGAGCAATGGCGGATGAGAGCAAGAAAACACAGTCTCAAAACTTTGGAAACGTATCTTCAGATTACAGCAGTGGCCACAGAGTTCAATATGGTACTTTTGAACTCAAACCAATGAACTCCTAGGTATTATAGTGATGGTATATAAGCAAAGCAATGAAAGAATCAAACAATCCATGAACTTTGAACCCTGGTGGACTTTCAAGCAGTTGTTTTGCTTTCTCCATCATCCGAAACGATATCGTCAACAGTTAAGCTACAAGAGAAAGTAAGACTCGGTTTCATCTTCGAACAGTTACCGGATCAGCCTCGTGGTTGAGGATCTGAAGGACTCGTCTGATAGAGGGCCTCGCAGCATCGTCGGGGTGTGCACAGCTCAAACCTATGAGCAACATCTTCCTCATTTCGTCCTCCTTGAATTCCCCATTCAACCTTTTATCAGCAGCTTCAATGATCCTTCCCTCACCAAACAAGCCCCACACCAGTCAACCAATTCGTCATCCTCTGGCTGTTTAGTCCCCTTCCCTCTCGATCGGTCTTCTACCGCAAGCTACTTCGAGAATCACAACACCGTAGCTGAAAACATCGGTTTTCTCGGTCGCTTTACCGTACTGAAGATACTCAGGGGCAAGGTAGCCCATAGTTCCTGCGGTGAGGGTTGAAACCGGACTCTTGTCATGATCCATCAACCTTGCCAATCCGAAATCAGAGAGTCTCGGATTAAAGTTACCATCAAGCATTATGTTACTCGTCTTAATGTCTCTGTGAATGACTTGTTGCTCACATTCCTGGTGCAGATAAGCCAAGACAGAGGCCAATCCTACAGCAATGTTTTGCCTATGGGACCATGTGAGCAATATGCCATTCTCAGGGTCTTGATGAAGCACCGTATCAAGGCTTCCATTAGGCATAAACTCATAAACAAGCAGCAACTCACCTTTCTCGGCACACCAACCTTGTAGCCGAACCAGATTCTTGTGCCTCAAACCAGCTATAATGGACAATTCAGCAAGGAACTCGGTTTTACCTTCGCCTGAGTGTTTCGATCTCTTCACTGCACTAAGGGAACCCGAAGAAGAAACGGCCTTATAAACATTTCCAAAAGCCCCACATCCGATGATTCTACTTGAGTGAAACCCTCTTGTGGCTGCGTACAGTTCTTTGTAACTAAACTCCCTAGGCCCTGCCAAAATCTCAGCTTTGAGATTCTTGTCTACTCTTGTATCCTTCCATTTCTTCACGGAAACATAACCGAAAACCGACAGAACCACGAAGAAGAAAGACGGACCGGCGATTCCGAGTCCTAAACGGAGCCTGCTGTGGTGTTTATTGGGAGTATTTGATGAAGGAACAGTCATTATTGTAACTGAAGTACCAGATACATTATGAGGATGTGAGTTTGGTCTCACGGGAAGGAAACCGGAAGTCTTGAAACTCCAATTCTCAATCGTATGAATTGCTGTACTCCCTTCAGTTGAAGCTGAGAACCCGACAAAGACATAGTCTTTAAGATAACCAGACAAGTCAATATCCACGGACAACAATGGTGTCGGAGGCTTCACAGTCGAATAACTCAAGAAACATGCAAGACCCTCAAATCATTCTTGTAAACATCCAAGCACTGATCAAATTCCCACTCTTTAAATCAATATCTTGAAACAATGCATCAGCTGCCTCTATCGAGATGAGCGAGTTAACATCCAAACCGACATGGTTTTCATTCGAATCATTGAATCGAGTATCGAGCTTGGTATCGAACTCAACGGCTAAAAAATTGTTCTTGGCTAAACCCGAAGAGTTAGCAAGCCCGAGATACCCGCCTGGACTCCCGAGGATTTGGTTGTCGGGCGAAAGAAAGAATGTTAAGCCATCGCCGTAAGAGCTTGGATCGTCGGTGCTGATGATGGAAAAAGAGAAACGCGTGGAGAAAGAAGCTGTGATATTGGATTCTTGATCGAAGAAACGAATTGGGAAGTTGTAGATGAGGGTACCAGAGCTTGAAGAAGGAACGTCAGTCTCCCTGGTTAGGCCTATGACGCCATTTTTAAGATGGGAATCGCCGAGGAGAGTGAAGTTCCTGACAGTGAAGAATGGGAAATTGAAACTGGTGCTTTCAGCAGGGACTAGAATCGGAGAATCGAGGGTGAAGAGGAGGAGGAGAAGAAACAGCAAGAAAACAAGAAGGTTTCTTGGTAGCATTGTTTTTTGATACCGGATTCTATGATTGGAGAAACAAGTTAGAAGTTTTTAAAATAGGCGCTGTCGTAACCGGTTTTCGTCCGGGCACGAAATATTAAATTTTGGCGGGGAAATTAATGTTAATAAATAATTTTGAAAATAATTTGTGAGTCGCCATCGGCCTTTTTGAGTCAGGTAGGTCGAATACCTAAAAATTATCTTTTAAAAGAGTTTTTAAGAAAACAATATTTAAAAGATGAACTGATCTGCGTTTTATAACCAAGAATTCGTTCTTTTTAATAATAAAAGGGATTCGTGGTCGGTTACGTTTAGGGAAGGATTAACACCCCTACAACGCCCAAAATTGGTACTTTTTAATTATAAATTGTCTCTAGTATTAAAAATTTAAAAATTCAAAAATATATTTAATTTATAATTCTATTATTTCAAAATTATATAAAAAAATATTTTTTTATTTAAAAATATCCGAAAAGAACTTCTAGGTACCTTAAGACAGCTCTTTTTCTTTGATATTGATAAATATTAATTTAAATAATATGTTTAATTTAAAATATCAGAATAGGACATCCAGTTGTATTAAGACTGTCCTTTTCTTCGATATTAAAAATAAATATTTAAAAGTTAATATTTATTATATATTTATGAATATATCAAAATATTTAACATATAATAAAAGAATAATTCTATTAAAACATATATTTAAAAACAATAAATAAATTAAAACATAAAATAAATGACTAAATTGCAATAAAAATAAAATTAAAAAATCTAATTCATAATTAATCAAAACTATAGGGATTAAATATGTTATTATTTTTTTTATTTTTATTTATTTAGTGATTAAAATAAAATCATCTAAAATTCGGATATTAGATTCTAATAAATTAAAAATATAAGCTAGGGATTAAAATATTATTTATTAAAATTAAAGGATTAAATACGTATTTATCCTAAATATATTATTTAATAGAAAGGACTAAAATAAATAAATCCACAATTAAAGAACCAAATTATAAAGATCTAAAATTAGGTTCAGTGACTACAATATAAAGTTTAAAATTCAGAGGACTGCGGAAAGGATTTAACCTTTCTATAATTACGCACAGGTCCTCCCTTAAACGACGCCGTTTAAGAGAGGGTATAAATACCCTAGGTTGGCTGGCCCGAAGGGCCAGCATCTCATTTCTCCTTTCTTTCTTCTCTCTCTCAAACTGAGAGAGAGATTTCTCTCTCGCCTTTCTCTAGGTTTCCCTCACCGGAGGGAAACCGGCAGCCATAGGCCACCGTACTCCGCCGCCGGCCACCGCCGCCGGCCACCGTGACGGTGGTCGGAATTCACCAAAAACACCCCCAAATTGTAGATCTATATGCCCTAAGACCGATTCCGGTCTTTGTTTTCTCTAAAAGACTCCTAATCGGAGTAAATCTAAACAAAACCGAAGGGTTCTACCTTCTTAAACGGCGGTTTGGCAACGTTTGGCTTCCGAGGGCTACAAAGGCTTCAAGGGTAAGTCTTCTTCTTCTTTCCTTTGGTTTACTGTGGTTGTAGACTGGGATCGTTGGTATAGCTTATTTTTTTTCCTTTCTCTTTTTTTTTTTTTTTTTTTTTGGTTTCTGTCTCTCCTGCGGTCTCTCTGTCTCTGTCCTCTGTTTTCAGGTGGGTGGTGGCTTTTATAGCCACCACCGGTGTTCGTCTCGGACCGGTCCGAAGAGCGGGGCCTCGGTGAGTCACCGGACTACCAGTGGTGACTCACCCCGTAGCCTTGCATGGACGGCTGGCGTTGATCTTCTGGAAGCATCATTTGGGACGTGGCAGCGGCGGAGGCGGTGAGGGCTTCTGGAAGCAGCAGCAGCGGCGGTGGACGTGTCCCTAGGGTATAGATACCCTAGGGTTTCCTCTGGCAAATGATGGACCGTTGGATCAAACCAGATCCAACGGTTGAGATTGAAGATGGCGGCTGGCGGCTGGCTAGATTAGGGTTAGGGAACCCTAACTGAAACCCTAAATATTTTTGGGTTTCAGTTTGGTTTGGGCCAGAAAATTGGTTTGTAATTATTTATTTTTTTAATAATATATATATATATATTTTTAATAATAATAATAATAATAATAATAATAATAATAATAATAACAATGATAATAATAATATTAATAATAATAAGGATAATAATAATATTAATAATAATAATATGGAAAAAAATTTAGTATCTTCAGCTGCCCCTCTTTGCTCATTCTTGTGTTAACAAGAATAGGGCAAAGATGAAAAGATAATAAAATTTTTTATCTATTTGACTTTACTTTGATCATTATGGAGATATTGAATAAATTCTTCTTTTTCTCCAACTAAGTTCTTCTTATTATGAACTTTCTGCTGGGGATGATGATGACCTCCTTTTTGTGA